TAGCACCTTAACATGCCCCCAAAGCCCAAAGCATTTTACAAGCAGAAAGAAGTGCTGCCAGCTGAAAGTGTCATTCACTGCTGAACTGTAGCATGGAGTGAAAAGCAGCATCTATTCAATAGCTGTTTGGGACAGAAAGTGAGAAACAGCATGACCATTGAAACGGCAGGAGGAATTTCTGGTAGGCAGAGCGCAATTAGCCAAGTTGGCCTGTGGCCAGGACATGGAGGTTAGTCATCTCCTTTTGTGAAAAGTACCATCAGATCTTCAATGACTAAGAGCATTCAGGACCTTGGGTTTATGTCTAATCCAGAAGATGGATAACGATTCTAAAGAGGAAACATCAGAGGCGAGTATGATCATAAACAGGGAGGATATGCAAGATAGCTTTCAGATAGAGGGGGGAAAATGGAGTCCTAGGCACTGGCCAAAACAAACAGAAGTCACTATGAGTGGATGGGGGTTATTCCAGGCTACTCTGTGAATTACATCAGGAACCGACACTGCCCTCCGCCTGGCTTCACAAAGTTTGGCTTTAACACTTGAATGTCACTGGCAGAATGAGACAAAAATGCAGCACCCAGGGTCAAAGAAAGCCAAGAAGGAAACTCAAGGAGAAAGAAATTAGAAGTCTGATTTCACTTGGGGGAAACAATTAAGAATAATTTATCGAGGATGAACTAAAGGATCTTTATTTTTAGAGGAGAGCTTTGGGGAATTTTAAGGGTTTCCCACTCTCAGCTTATATTTAAATAATAAATAAGTACCTAAGTTCTGGGGAAAGTTCAAGACAACAATTCATATGGTTGTAAACAGGCCTCAAGAAATTGTTTTCAAAATTGAAACAATGAGAATAACCAGCATTCCTGGAGCCAATTCAGATATTCCACCATCTTTTCAGAAAACACACAGGCAAATAATTTCACCTAGTGTTATCACTGGGGTCTGTCCTGTTAAGAAGGGGGAGTACCCCAAAACATACATTTCTGAAACTACAGAGTTAATCAGTGACACATCATTTAGCAAGGGAGTCTGTAATTATAAAGGATAAATCCTGCAAATGTAATCCTGATGGATTTTCAGCCATTGACAGGCTGAGCAAGCCTGGATACACATGCACTTGTGTTGAAATTTGTCTATGGCTTGTGTTTGAGCTGAAAGAAAGGTTAAGAATCAAATCTAATGCTTTTCATCTGCTTCAGACTCTAACTAAAATGCAGACCCACAAATCTAGCCCTAATTTTTTACTTGAAAACCATTATGCACTTTGTTTGAAGTACAGCCTTTAACTCCAGCTATTTATAGGGACTGTGTCTTTCTCTATCCATTTCACACACACACTACAGCAAAAGGTCATTTGTAAGTGTATATCAGAAGTGGAAGACAGTGAAGAGGCATGCTAATCAAACTTGCTCCTAACCACTCGTTGTTCAAAGAGTAGAGTGGGGCTAGATACTAATGTATTTGACCCTTCAAAAGCTTAGTGGCCAATTAGCTTTCTAAAGGCTATGATGAACTGCGCTCATTTACTGTGCATCCACACATTCAACTGTCATGTTTAACAAGCATCAGGACCACCTACAGCTGCCCAGCAAGTCCCTTTGCATACCTAAAACTGAGGATGCTCACGTAGTCTCTAGGAAAGAAAAAAGATGCAAAAAGCACAGCTTGAGCTGATTTCCACAAAGCAATGTAATTTGCAAAACTTTAAGATTCCAGTTGGTTCCATAATTTTCCAAAGTTTTCCTTGAATCCTCAGGAATGGCTCCAGAACATCAGTTCTCTTTTCTGCACCAAAGGCAGGTCTTATGTTTCTTTCCTTCCAGAGCACCACAGTCATAATCCATAGAAAACCTAAGGTGTTCCTTGACATCTTCATTGGAAAGATCGTTACTAAAATGCCAGACCACATCTGGAGATGCTCACACACTTGTTTGACACGTCTACCTCATGTTTCCCTCTGTTCCACTACAGCATGCTTGGCCAGCACTGGAGCCCATCATGTAAGAACACTTCATTCCCATCCATAACTCACAAACTGGCAGTGCAGATTTGCGGTTTTTCTTAGATATCGAAGCAAGCTAGCCAGGGTTCACAAAGTAAAGTCAAAGTAGACAAAACCAGAAGCAGATTATCAGAGACTCCTTATATCCCTCAGTGTCCTTCAAACAATGAACACTTCTGAGATCAGCAGGGCTGATAGCACAGCAACCAAATGATACAGTTGTGAACACCCTTTATCTGAGAAATTACTGCACATACTTAGTCAGCTACTTGTGAAGGGCATTTATTGGTCTGGTACCCAATCACTGAAACACTTAACATATTCTTAAGTCACATATGTCCCACAAGTGAAGTATGTCTTTGGCAGGAAGCTGAATCCAAACAGACTTAAACGCATGCTTAAATATAAGCACATACGTAAGTGTCTCACTGAACTGTGGCTGTGTTGACATTCGTATTACTAGCCAAGGTGTCAAGCAGAATCATAAATTAGTTTCTCCTCTCTCCCCATTTACATTTCTTTTTGTACTGGAGCCTTCATAAGGAGAAGCTGCACTTCATACCAGGAAGGCACTACTAATCAGTCTTTTATAATAAGGAGAGAAATTAGGTGAGAAGCACAATGGTGACTGTGAAATTGGAGATGTCAATGTCTTATTTTTAAAGCCCCTAATTTTTTACAAAGTGCTGTATTTTAGCCCTTGGCACCAGTGATTATACATACGCACATGCATCCAGCTACTTTGAGCTAAAGTTGTCTTTAAAAATTTCCAGTAAGCCAAACTTAATGGAAAGTCAGGGATGGTTGTTTCACAACTTAAAAGGAAAGTTTCCCCTTTTAAGTAGCAAAGCAAGAGATGGGGAATGTTCCTTTTTTCTCAGCATATACCAGTTATACTCTTGTACTCTCAAAACTTCATGCACTTTTTATGTTTCTCGGTTGAGCTGCCATGATCTGCCTAACAACATTTCAGTCCCGTGTCAATCCGAGGGCTACATCTAAGGCTCAGCCATAATTCATCAGGATCAGATGGCAGCCAGTCCTGACTGCACCTCCTGAGAGCTGGGACACTTCTCACCCGTCATGGAGCAAAAACAATTATCTGAAGCTATCCACCTGCTCCAGGGCCACTTTGTCAAATATGATACCTCAGGGGGGGATGCCTACCTGTCATACTGATTTTTTGGATGTTGACACAGTGGTTGGAGTGAACATCTGCTGCTGCTACTCCACTGTGATCTCATTTAGGCTCTCCAGAAGCAAAGATGAAAACATGTTTCAGTGCCTCCCTCCTGCCTGCTCCACCTGAAAAACCCTCTGCGTCTCATCTAAGCAGCTGAACAGCTGTGACCAGATGACACCTTATCCCCTTCTTCTTTGAAACATCACTTTAATTCCCAGCTACTCACTCACTGAATCCTCACCACTAGTGGCATTCCTCTGGCTACCTACCTGTGCGTATGGACGTTTTCCTATCCTCTCATGCAAATGTCTCAGCACCCAAATCAAGGGGAAATTAGACCATTTGCTCTGTAGCTAATGAAAACTGCAAAGAAACAAAAAAAAACAAACCAAAACCCAAACTTGGCTGCAAATCACAGTGTGAAGCTCCAAGTTTGGTGTTCAACTGAATGGGAGTGTGCTGAGATACTAGGACAGGATAGGGAACCTAGTCAGTTAGAGAAACACAATGAAAGCAGTGGGTTACAGCTTGCAGTCCTCCCTGCTATAGCTGCATGCATCCAGTGAACTATATAGAGCAATGCATACTGTTTCTTATCTCTAGGATTTGCTCATTATTCAAGGCTTGTGGCTTTTAGGTGCTTTTTGTACCCCTCCTACCATGTTCCAGTTGTGCAAGCGAAAAATAGCTCCCTTACAAAGCAGCTTGAGTGCATCTGGTTGAGTTGAAAAACGGCACAGAAGACAGGATCCACCACTGTGTGATGCTACTGTAAAAGAGACATCGGCTGGGTCAAGGAAGATAATTAGGCTGGGTAATATAGAGAGAACAGTCTATTTGGGTACCTGCTCACAATTAACCTGTGGGAAGCTGTCAGGATTAGTTCTCTCTGGATCTCAGTCTAAATGACTCTTTTGGGCTGCAGGAATGAAAACTCAAATTAAAACAGCAGCCCTGTTGGGCTACGGGCTTAGATATGGCATCAACACTTCTTTTCCAATGCTGACAGCAATTAAAGGAGGATGGCAAATGCTTTCTCCCAGTAGCTTCTTGCTTTAATGAGTATCTTCTCTGCATCTAAGATGTAGCTGCCCCTCTAGACTTGGAGACCCTCTGTGTCATGCACAAAGCTTACACACAGTGTCACTCAGTAAATAATAAATACAGCTATGTAATCATAGCTACCTATGGGGTAGACATTTTCTCAGTATGACAGCTTCCAGGAGTTCAAAGCCTTGCATGAGCCGAATACACAAAGACTGTGTGTGTTAACTAATCAGCCTTTCCATCTCTATGTGATCATTTTCTAAATTGCCATTAAAGAGGCACCAAGAGCACAGAAGATGACACTCTTCTGTCTGGGTGCTGTAATCACACTGAATGCATCTGAGCAGACGGCATAGCAAATGGGCACTGGAGATTTTAAATATCTTGGTTTTCATCATCAAACATCGCGAGCTAGTTCCTGTTTCCTTCTCAGTCACCTCTCCTGACTCCATCAGGCTATTGATGCAATGCTGAGTGATATGTGGCAGCACGTTACTCTCAGTGGAGATTAATGATTTCTTTTTTAAGGCTCTTAAAACCCCCGTTGCCTCTGGGTCTCTCACTTGGTAAAGTAGCATGTCAAAAACTAATGGGAAAGTGTGAGACGTGACATGACTTTATGAGAAAAGCAAACTTGGGCCATGGGAGATGGAGTTTGGATTTTGACAGCAAACTTTGTTGTTCTGTTTGTTTCTTCCCCCTAAGAATACGCTTCTATTTTTAAAGCTGAATGCATTGCTGTGATTCATGCTGCAATAGCTACAGTAAATCAAGAGAGAATGCATTTGTGTTGGACCATGCGAAAGCACAAAGTGATGCTGGTTCCTTCCCATACTGACTAAACCCGTATGTCTGCTGTGCATAAACACCGCTACCTGCTTGGAACCCCTTCAGACCTCAGATTCCCATTTGCAGCTGTCTCTGGCATGTCGCAAGAAAAGATGATGGATGGGCAGAATTTTATTTCCATTAAAATGAAGCCAACTAAATATTTTTGTCTGCTTTATTAAAAAATACTATTTCTTGCTTTGCTTAATCTTGAAAAATGCAGCATGTTTCTGCAGCTGATTTTGCATTTTATCTAGAAAATGGGTGCCTGAGGTGGAATGATTTTCTCTGGGAACAGAGTAAGCTGCAGTTTTGACTTCCTTCTGCTGGGCAGAGGGCACCCAGTGTGGGAGAAGCTAATAGCCCCACAGCTACCATCTCCCCAGAGGGGTCATACTTCATGGTTTGGGCAAGATGACCCCCAAAGTCCAACAATGAAGGCAGTCAGGGAGACTGGAGATCCTCCTGTCAACTAAGCCTTGCCATCAGGCTTGCTGCTCCTCTTCCTGACCATGTCCGAGTCCTGCAGAGCACTGCTCTCCCTCCTTGAGGGGTTTCTGTAATTCCTGCTGTTGACACAATTCGTAGTTGGAATCAGTTCCAGAAGATTGCTGGAAGAGAGCACTGAAGTGTTTGGATTTGATGGGATTGGGTGGCAGGGAGGGAAACACATTAGAAGCACAAGAGCTTGGCATCTAACACAGGGGCCTGAGGGTGTCAGATTTGAGTGAACAACTGCTCTATCACGGTATCTATATAACTAAATCTGTCCAAAAAACACAGTTTGTCCAAGGTTCTTCTTTACTTGCATTGTTTCTCCTCCTTCTCTCTTGTTTTCCCAGAAATAGAACATGACATTTATTTTTATGGACAGCATGATCTTATGGCTATTCCCTAGTGACGGGGTAATCTGAACACAATTATGTTCTGTTGACAAAAAGTGATAAAAGTGTATTGTGTCAACACTCTGAACTAACAGATTTGTCATCTGTTCTACTCTCAGATAATAGAAACAGAATTAGAAAATGCTCTGACAGACTCTATTCTCTTCTGTGGTTAGGTAAGCCTGAGCTCTGTGCTTGGTTACTGTACCCCGGTGTTCTCCATCTCCCAGCAAAATCTGTCTGCCCGTTTTAAATTCAAGCATGAATTTTGCTTTGATGGACTCCTTTTGTCAGCTTATAGCTTATGTGCTTTGGAGTAATTTGACCTAAGTAAGTTCTCCATTTCACTGCAGTTCTGTCACTCCTATTTGTTTCCATGGCTTTGGAAAATCCAACTTTTTTGTGCATCATTTTTTCTACCTTGCAAATTTCCTTCTAGAAAATGTATTTGGCAGTAGTACCTGCATTACATTCTCCATCCAGCTGACTTTTTCATGAGTTCATGGATAGCAATCTACTTTTCCTGAGACAGGCACCCACATTTGCCCTATATGTAGAGCCAGCCCTAAGCTCACACAATTTTAGAGGGAAATATGTGCATATAGCATAACATACAACACCATCCCATGCTTGGTCTGAAGACAAGTCTGCACTTCCAGCTCTTGGTTAGTTGGATGACAATTACTGCTTAAAAGCTAAAAGAATGATGACATCATTGAAGCAAAACAGAAAAGGCTTTTTCATGGCCAAAAAGAAAAGCAATTTCCAAAATATCTGTAAAACATCTGCACAGTCAAATGCCATTAAACTGCATTTCCATTCAAAAGGGGCATGTACGTGCATGTATATTAAGGGTTTCTAAAAACAGGAATCAATAGCCACCAGGTACAAATGTGGAACGAGTCAAGCATGATAGCATTTGGTCACCTGGCTAATGCCCATTTGAAAAGATCAAGGATATTGCCCCCCTCATCAGAACAGAAGAGATGATAGGTGCCATGAAGATGCTCTTAGCTTACGTATCTGGTCCTTCCTCAGCTCATTCCCTCAGATTCCAGGTTAAACACTATGTCAGAATGGGACTCCTAAGAATCAGCTTTTTCAGGACCACAAACATTACAGTAATCCCAGATCTACTCTAATTTGAGGTGCAGGCTGAACTCCCTCCTTCCTCCAGTCAAGCCACTACAGCCCACTTTGCTCCTCAGCTTCTGCAGTGCCCCAGAGCATCCAGCCACATGGAGCTTGTCCCTACATAAGCAACATTTTGCACATACGTTTCCCTTGGTTTGGTACATTTGTTGTTTGAACAGAAAAATGCAATCGGTTTTGACAGCAGGGTGAAATGAACTGAGTATGTGCACATGAAGAGTTATTGTTTACTCCCCTCATCCAACTCCTGCCAGTGGAATTTTTTAGTGTGGGGGTGGAATCAAGGCATTTACATCCTCAAATGAGAATAATGGTCTGAAATAGTGGCTTAAGGTGTTTTGGCACCATATTCTGATACCCATAGCAACCTTTAAAGAAAATGGAGCTGGACATTGCAATGGAAACTTAGCACCATCTACAATTTAATTCACAACCCAAATTTCCCAGTAGAAGCCACAGCTCATTACCACACCTACAGAACCACTCTTGAAAGAGAGCACAGATCTGACTCCTGTTCTCCTCCTCCTCTCTGACTGACAGCCAGACTTGGTGTTCAACAAAAGGATGCTGCTGTGAGAAAACAGCTAAGGAAAAGAAAAAAAGGTGCTAAAGTTCTTTTCACATTGACTTAGAGCAGGAATATATTGTGTAATGCACAGCTTTGAACAAAATGAAGCAATATCAGTATGGACAAAAGTTTTGCTTACCCACCAGGTTGATCCTCTCTGTGTTATTGCATCTAAGCCTTATCAAGTAAATCTTGAATAAATGAATATTTATCTTGTGTTATCAGTGACTGCTTTTCTATCCCAAAGTATTTGGCCATATCACAACGAGCTATTTATACCTAGTATGATTTATTTTACCAAAGCCACTTGGTCTTAGCTGTAATATGTGTATGGTTACACTCAAGATTATTTTTTGGGTCATCATTTTAACACTAGTCCACAGTATCTTAGAATCCAATATACACAGCTTGTAGCACTTGAGTGTTCCACTGGAGTCAATGAGGCCATCATTCACACGCTTAAAATTAGGCATATGCTTAAGTGCTTTGCCTTTGGGATAAAGAGCCCATTTGGGACTCTTTGGTACTTAGCTCTGATAAAATCCATCAATCTTGCTTAGATGATTAAAACAATAGCATCTTTCTCAGAACTTCCAACAGATGTTTTCATAAATTTTAACATACTTCTTTTCCCTGTCTCATTCATTTCCAGTACAAGTATTCCCTTAAAAGCTGAATGAGGAAATCTGTAAACTTAATGGAGGAAATTTATTTGGATAGAAAGACATCTAAAGAAATATAACAGCACTTGCAATGATCTCTGGCCAAATTCTGCACCCATTAACTTTCTTTATGCCTTTTCCCACTGCCAGATGTATCTTTGCAAATGAGATTTTCCAAAGTAACTATTGTCTTCTCTGAATCCCACAAAATCCTTTCTACTAGTCTCTGAGCGGAGTTTTTAACAAATCGAGTGAGTGTATAACTGCTCACTCCATATGTCTGAAGTGTAACTTCCTTCCACCCACCCCATTTCATTCTGTCGACAACATGCATTTTGTCAAACCTCTTGCTGCAAATCATTCAGTCAATGGAACTGAAAGACATTTCAGCACATTTTTATCAACAGAATGCAATTTTGTGCAAATCATGCTGTCAACAGGAAAGAATGCCAAAAGAAAAGCGAAAGAACCCAAACTCATTTTGTCCACAAAAAATAAATTACAGTTTGCTTTTACTTTGCACATGTAGACAAAATGGAAATAGCAAAACTTCCCCATCTGTGGACAAAATTAAGATTGATCTCTTAATTTAGGAGACCAAATGGTATTTGGTAGAAAATTACTAACACCATGAAGGACAGCTGAGATGCTGAGTCAGAAGAATTTACCCAGCACTGTACACGTTTCACTGTTTTCGTTGTATCAGTGAAATGACACCTGAAATATTGAATCCGTTGGAGAAAAATATTCAGTGATGGGCTCAGTTACAGAAAAGCTAAAGAAAAACACAGGTGCTATTTCATTTTCCAGCTGATGAATGTCTTGGATTGCTCAGCAGGTGCGTGTCCAATGGACAGGGCTCTGCAGCCATACAAAGCCTCACAGCTCTGTGCCATAGCTGAGGCCACCTTCTATTTAACTCTGTTGTGATGTTTTCATCCTTTTGAGCTTTCAGTTTTGCTCTTATTATTACAAAGCTTGTTCTTTTGGTAATCATCTCTGTACCTCAGAGTCTAAGACAACCTGGCACACTAAGGGCTGGCACCACACAACACAGCCCTGTGGTCACTAAAGCTAGGGCAGGTCAAAGCAAAGACTGGTTTCAATAACTGCCTTGCAAATGTTCTCCATCACAGGACTGAAAACAGTTTCTACTTGACAACAGTTAAAGGGCCTTTTTGCTGAGAATTTCACTGTGTTTTTAGATCACCTTATCCCTTCCAGTTCTTCAGTGAATTGTTCAAATAAGGCCTTGGAGAACTGACAGTCCCAAAGAGTTTGTTGGGGCTGGAGGAGCAGCGACAGTGGCTGTTATCCTGCATTTTAGAAATCAGAATGAGACTTACCACAAGCCATTTTGGTACACACTGTGGGGGATAAGAGATAATTTTCTCCATCAGTCCCCAGTCTTTACTGGGGAAAGCAATGATCCAGCCAAATTCCCCAAGTCCTGCTCATCCACAAGAGACGGATGCACAGGGAGAAGGTACGCATTGTGCAGCATTAAAAATGTAACTGCTTTGAGGCACAGGCCAACACGCTGACACCAAAAGCTGGCAGCAAATATGTCAGAGGGATCACGAAGTTGGCATGAGAGGGTTTCAGCTAATACAAGAGATTATTTTCAGGACCTTATTGCTTGCCAAACACAACACAAAGCTGGCCTCAGAGAGCAGCACTTCTGCTGGAGCCGTAGGGGGTGGCAGCGGAGCGGAGCAGACGCTCAGGGGAAAACCTGCCTTGGGTTTTCATCTGGGACAGCACTAGGGCTTTGCAGGGACCAGCTACTTTTTGGCTGTGTGTCACTGCTGTGTGTCCTAGCTAGTCTCTATTTGCAGCGGTCTGCCTAAAGTGTCTATGGGTTGAGTCATGTTTCTGTTTCTGATTTTTGTGCTCACGTTGGCACAGTATCAGAAGGGGGACTTGGTGCATCCCTTTGGCTCCACCAGGATGCTCAAGTGAATTTCAGATTTGAGAGCTTTCATTTTTGTCAGCATCAAGGACCGTCTCCTCTTTAATCCTTACCTGACTTTCTGTGTCCAGAGCAGCCCTAAAGGCAAGAAAGTATTCACTAAAAATGTAGTGTCACTTTAAAAGTGGTAGGTAGATTCAGTGGGAAGAAGTATCCTGAGGAATGAAAAAATAATTTCATTACATTTCGCTGTGTATTTCTTATGGTATCTTCTTGCCATTTTGGTTGTGCTGACAGCGCTGCATATCAAAAGATGGATTCATATCTGTGAGGCACAGACAGCAAGCACTGCAAAGAATTTACTTGTTCGGATCCACAGAAATTTCCTCCTTTTAAAAGCTACTATGCAAAACCTTTCTGAATAAGTAGCTGAGGGCAATGGCTGCACCTTCAGCCTGGCCATCCTTGTCCATAGACACAAAATACCTTTACCCTGACTAGTTCTGCTAGTGTGTGGCACAGGGCTTTTTCATAAGCATAGTGGACAGAGACTGATACTCATGCATCCTTCTTTGCCAAACACTTTGCACTGTGGCAGTCAGAATCAAGGTCTTGTTAACTAACCTATTCTTTCTTTATATGTTGACTTCAGTTTGGTCCTGTCCTGCTGTGTCCACACAAACCCACCTTTTCAATGGAATTCTGAACAAAAGAGCGGAAATGAAGACCTGGGAATTTCCATGCTTTTCATGGCTATTTCTTGAATGTTACACAATTAACTCACAAGGAAAGCTGGAAATCCTGTATCAATATGAAATTACAGCACTCAGCTGTAGGACACCTGGAAATCA